TATATATATATCTGTATATATCTATATATATGTATATGTATATATATCTATATATATCTATGTATATATATGTATGTATATGCTATATATATATATATATATATATATATATATATATATGTATATATCTATATATATATATGTATATCTCTATATATCTCTATATATATGTATATATATATATTTATATATATATATATATATATATATATATATATACATATATATATATATATATATATATATATATATATATATATATATATATATATATATATATATATATATATATATATGTGTGTGTGTGTGTGTGTGTGTGTGTGTGTGTGTGTGTGTGTGTGTGTATATATATATATATATATATATATATATATATATTATTTTCTTTTTTTTAGTGTAATGTTGAGAACTTCTTAAATAAAAAATGTTTTTTACTAGAATTTTTTTTTTATAGACAAAAAATATTTTATTGCTAATACTACAAATAAATGCATTGTATAATAATGGATAATAATCCAAATCAATTCAAATGAGTTTATCCGATAAATAAATAAACATACTGTGCTATGTAGCATAAAAAATAAATTGAGCTAAGTACTGAGGAATTAAAGCTACTTTTTAAAGTAAACTGGGTTTAAATGAACTGTGTGTAATCTGCCTTTTAAAGCCTGTGTTACAACTAGAGCTCTGTCTGTTACAACTTGGTGGGGTACATAGAAACATTTTTACTCCAGTCACGTTTGGCAATACTGCACAGAAACCATAGGTCTGGCGATCATAATTTTAGTGCTCATTTGTAGACTTGTGTTTTGTTGGTAAAAAACAAATGGTTTGTTTAAACCAAAATACTCTGTTTATTATTTGACCAAAACCAAAAAGTGTTATTTTCTCCCCTGCTCTCCCCTATATTGTTTTTTACATCAATTGTGGGCTCTGCTAAACACGACAAGAGACTAATATGATTCCTTTTAGTTTTACTAATGTCTTATTAAAACCTCTACAAACTGATACAAGATCAGGTAAAAACTATGAGACATGTTCAGTGATTCACCACTGGGGGGCAATATGACTGATAATTCATGCATATTTCATATGGATATTATCATATTACACATTTCGCCCCTCAATGCAGAACCATCAGATTTTTTAAATATATTTTTAAACAGTAATGATGAAACCAGCCTCGCTAACTGAGATCATGTGACTTCAAATCATGAATGCTCCAAACCACTAATCTGAGGTGAAATGTTCATAAATGCTTCATGTCAGTACTCCAAATGCTGGAACTTTAAATGCAGCTTTTACAAGGCCAACCCGGAATCTGCGCGCGCAGAATTCCACAGATTTTCCACAGATTTTCCACAGATTTCAGCATATTTTTAGCCCACCATTAATTCTGTTTATTAACTTGAGTTAATGTGTGTAAATCTATATTTATTCAGTTTTTTACTTAATTTCAGTAACATTATTGACTAATGTGAAAATGTTCATCTGATTTATGTGCAATGCAGTTTGTACAATAATATTTTCTGTCTTTTAGTAGATATATTATATGACAAACTTGCTTTATTTACCAAATAAAGTGAATCTAATTGGATTTGCATTTTAAACATTAAAAAAAAAGTTACAAATTTTTTATTTTTTATTTCATATATTAAGGTTTTAGTTCTGATACTCCCAAAATAATTTCGCAGACTTTTACCAAAATTCTCAGCAGAAGTGGCAAAAAACGTCTGCAGATTCCGTCTGGCACTCATGAGATGTAGACTTGAGTGTCCTCACAGCAGTGATTGTAAAACCGATCTTTCTGAATTATAAATCTTTGTCTGCATAATATCTTTTCAAAAGATCAAGCCTTATATTGTTTGTTCCACCCATTGTGGGCGCCGTTATGAGACATGTTCAGTGATTCACCACTGGGGGGCGATATGAGTGATAATTCAGTGGAGTGGAGGAACTATGACGTCAATTTGTATGCAAAAACCTGGAAGCGAGTTAGCATTTTAGAAGTTCCGGTTCGCTCGTCTCAAAGTCAATAGCTGCGTCCCAAATCGCATACTTATGCATTATTCATCGCCATTTTATAGTATAAATAATGTAAGTAGTGTGTTCACACTGAAAACTCCAAAAAAAAATTAAGTGCACTTTAATTACACGGATGATGCACTTATTCAGCCGCTAAAATGAAGTGTGTAACGATGGACACTATACGCACTCAACGACCGCAGGTTTGCTTACGTAGCGGAAGGGGCGGAGCTATCTGACGCACATGTTGGATAACTTTATTTATTTTGGATGGTGAAAGCA